AACATACCTAACCAGCATATGCTGTTTTTTTCAACAGGGATATTCTATTAGAATACCTACATATATGATTTAATGACATGGAAAATTTATTCTCTCACCTCTCTCTCTGTCATTTCAGAGAAGTTGATAAAGAGGAAGTGACTCAGCATTCTAACAGGAAGTCAACCTCTTTAGCAAACGGTCTCTGTTCACCTTTTACAACAGGGGATGATGGGAAGCTGGAGGTGGATGGGCGTTCTGAAAAAGTAGCTGGGGACTCAGAAGGCGTAAATGTTGGGGTGGATGTGGAGGATGTGCCACTGGATGGATGGCCTCTACGCAGAGTCATATCCATCGAGGAGGACCACCTCCCCCACCTGCTGCAAGGAGACCCTCACCTTCTTCTGCATCAGCTCAGTGAGGAAGAAGAAATAAGGGGGAAAAAAGAAGGTCAGGTCAATCTAGAGACAAGCTCCCTGTACCCATCCAATGCGTCCCTTGCCTCTGCTGACTCTCCACCACCAGTTAGGGTGCAGAAGCCATCTAAGAAGAAATGGATCAAAGGAAACCTGCCCTCATCTGCACGGGGTCAGCCTGTCGGAAAGGAGACCCTTCAGCAGGCAAGCGTAACCTCATATGCAAAGATGTTGAATATCATAACAGAATGTTTGCATGTAGAGATCTTGAAGATACAGTAACAAAAAAAAGTTATTTAATTCATGTGTCAGAGAGAGGGCATAAAATGGTTAGCTTTAGCACAACAGACCTTTAAATAACATAATAAGTGGACTTTAAGACAAACCTTACAAAGGTCTAGACCTGGGGTGACCAAACCTTTTCCTGAAGGTCCAAAGTCCTGCAGAGTTTAGCTCCAACCAGCTCCAACACACTTGCCTAGAAGTTTCTAGTGAGTCTGAAGACACTGATTAACTAGTTCATGTGTATATAAATAGGGTTGAAGCTAACAGTGGCCCTTCAAAAACATGTTTGGACACCACTGGACTAGACTATGTCCCATTAAAAGTGTAAAAGTGTTTTCTTTACTATGCACACTTTTCAACACAGCTAGCTTTAAACTTTATTTTTAAGAGATCACTCTGGGTATTTTCGGCTGCAGGGTCCTGCAGAAGGATCTGCTGCATCCCCTCAGCGCCTCTTTAAGGTCATTCTGGTGGGAAATTCCAGTGTTGGCAAAACCGCACTGCTTCGACGCTTCTGTGATGGACAGTTTCATTCTGCCACCGCAGCCACTGTGGGTGAGTTACTCTCCTACTCCTATGTTCACAATTTAATATTGCTCAAGTTAGTGAGTAAACAGGATTTAACACATGACTTTGCAATGAGGGATTTTCAGGAAATACAATTTTGGTCCTTCAAGTTGATTGCCCTTTTACTAAGTTTGCTTTATTTGATCAGATAGATGGATTACTCCTCTCTCTTTTGGTAATTGTTATGATTTATATGGCCACTGATTCACCAAAGTTTGCAACCTTCGACATCTAAAGTCTGTGCATCAATATTGTGCGTAGTGTTACTTCTTAAAGGCTTTTTAGTGCATTGTGTTTAAATGTGTGTACGTGTGTTAGCTAAAGCCTACTATGCTATATCAGATGGATTTGTTAAAGCAGGCAGCATCACATGAAAGGGCTTGAGAAGTCACACTCCCTGCAATTAAACCCTGGCACACATTGCACGGCAGATTATGTCAAACACCATCAATTCACTTTCTGCAGAGTTTATAGCCTTTCACCACTGAACTGTAGTGGATTCATAAATAATCTGGACAATTAAAAAGTATGAATTTCATTGTATTAGGTACAATCAAACCAAAACACATCTTCAAACAAACAAAACTGGAGCTTTTTAGCCATTTAGTTTCAATCAATTCACTTGTATGTTACACACATAAATATTACACAACAGTACCTCCTAGTGGCCATTTGACCTTACTGCAGGTTTTGATTTAAAGGGTTAGTTCACCGAAAAATGAAAATTCTGTCATTAATTATTCACCCTCGTGTTGTTCCAAATCCGTAAGACCATCGCTAATCTTCGGAACACAATTTAAGATATTTTTGATGAAATCTGAGGGCTCTCTGATTCTCCCATAGACAGCAAGGTAACTACCACATTCAAGGATCAGAAAAGTACCAAGAAGTTCGATGAATTTGGGGGACAGTCATGTGGCTCTTCAGTTATGGGACACTGCAGGCCAAGAAAGGTGAGGCCCTGATACCTACATAGTACAAACAGGATAGAGTTTTGCATTAATACAATTATTATCATCTTGTTTAGGACATTTACATTCAGCTTGAGTTTGAGTTCTTTATTTTTGTTCCTCAGTCTGTACTGTTATCCTTTTAAGCTTGTCATCTAGAGTAATTTATTGCATAACCAAAACATAATCTCACTTGTCACTGATGATAAACATCCAGCATTAATAAAAAGCAATGTCACTGTGCCCTGCAGGTATCGCAGCATTACCAAGCAGTTTTTCCGTAAGGCAGATGGCGTGGTGGTCATCTATGACATCACAATGGAGGACAGTTTCAGATCAGTCCGCCCCTGGCTGGCCAGCATACAGGAGGCCGTAGGCGACCCTATACCCGTCATGCTCCTTGGCAACAAATCGGACAAGGAGAATGAGAGAGAAGTGCAGACAAAGGAGGCCGATATGCTAGCAGAGGTGTGGACGTCTCTTATGCTGTCAATCACACAGTATATCATAGTCAAATATTAATAATACCTAATATGCTCTGTTTTTACCCAACATCACCTTATTCAACACAGTAAGCAAAGATTAATAGTATTTGCTATATTTGATAGGAAGTAAACTTGATGTTCTACGAGTGCAGTGCTTATACTGGAGCTAATGTGCTGGAGGCCATGATACATCTGGCCAGGTAAGAACTCAAAAAACATGCGAATGCAACATGTTGTTAAACATTGACATATTTTGTTTGGCTGTGATGTTTGTAACACTTCAGCCACAGCTGCAACCCACAAAAAAGTTATAAAACTGAGACAGCTAACCGACAGCAAACATGATCAGATGTCAACCAGAAAGCTTGCGGTTTTCTTTTGTATCTTCAAAGTGCGATCAAAAATGCGACTTTGCAGATTGTGTGAACCTTATGTAGTTTATTTACTTCGAAAGGCCCACTAAATGTGCCTGGTGGCAGCCATGTTGAGATCACATGACCAGCCCAATGCTAAGTATATCTCAGTATCTCCACTATAATCAGACAATTTCAGCTGTTGAATATATTACATTGGAGAGTATTTGTACACACAAAAAATATTTAGGGAAAAAATTATATATATATATATTATTTTATATTATAAGTATTTTAATGAACACTGATATGTAAATACAACTTGTTTATTATTTGTTATATTATTATTGTTGTTTTATTTCTTTTAATTAATGCTTTAAGGGTCCTGAGGGAGCAGGAAGACAGAGTATGGGTGAACACGGTCAGACTGGTGGATCAACCATTAAAGAAGAAAACCTGCTGCTAGTGACCACACACACACAAACACACATGGGTGAAATCATTCTATGCATTACATATCATCACCGCACCCTCTTATATTCAATGTAAGTCATTTAATGTAGGCTGAAAGAGGACAAATTCACTTATACTTGAATCAAAAATGAATAGTGTAATGTGTTAAAAGGTTTTTCATGTCCATTTGTCAAAGAGCATTGTATATCTGTGTTCATCTGATGTGTGTCCAACTGTAGATGAAGTATATTAGTCTCAGGACACTTCATCACACCTCATTTAAATGATCTTTGTACATATTCTATTTGTTAAGGATACCAATTGTCAATCACAATACATTTATGGAGAACATGTGTTCAGTCAAGCTGCGTGTGACAAATGCAGTTCAGCCAATTTATCCCACGCAACCAAGTGAGTGAGTCATTCAAGAAAAATGTGATTGTTTGTTACTTCCCATTTATTTAGCATTGCAATAGCCTCATTCAACCCATCTGAAGTCTTGCTAGCATCATGAAACCTGTATTTCAAACTGGCCAGTAAAACCTCACTGCTTGAACAAGAAGCATTTCAGTTGCTGTGCAGAGACAGTTCAGTTGTCGACAACAACATGAAGCACTAAAATCTTCAGATTTATTATTGAGGCTGGATTCAGTGTCGAACATGTCATGCCTCGTTCATTGTCTTCATCTGAACTGCTCTGCTCGTCTTGTTTTACACAAAGGAGCAAACATCGGTGGCTCCAACAGACAATGACCTGACAATTGAACAAGAACACAAAACCAAAAATATACTTAAGTTAAAACTGTCACATTATGTTACTCTAAAATAACAAAGTTTGTACATTTGATGAGAATGATTTAAAATAGTGTAGCTGCTCTTAGAGGTTCTTTAGAAAAATCTTGAAGTGAAATCTTGAGTGAATCCTGAATAAATTAAAATAAAGCAAAGGCAGAAAACACGCCAGAGGTCACTATATTAAACAACTCAATACTAACCCAATAAATATAGCACAATAAAAGCACTTATAAGCAAAACATCAAATATGAAGTGAAAAAATGCCATTCATGCTCTTTTCATGTATGCATCCAAACTGAAGCCTTGTTCGATGAGGCACTATTGTACGATTTCACATTGGCATTGCCGTTCGGTAACATCTTATAAGGTTAAATAAACACAAACTTTGACATTCTCAGGCTCATTAACATTCAGAGTGATGTTTTCACAGTCTATCCTCTATGTGCATTTTAGAAGGTGACACGTGATGACACTATTGCTTTTAGTGCTGGACTCGCACTGATGACATCACCGAGGGGTCCTGCAGTTCAGCAGCCTCTCTGATCCAGACAGAGGCACATTCCGTCTCTCCGTCGAATCTCCCTGGGAAACGGTGGCCTGACTCAGGATGCCGCTCCAGTTTTAACGCATCTTGTAGTCGTGGGAGATGGCTGCGTCGCAGAGCTGTCCTTTGAAATCCAGCTCAAAGGTGAAGTCCAAGTCACGCTGGAAGAAATCAAATTTGGCTACTTCAGTACTTTTTTGCCATTTTGTTTCTTGTTTTTTTCTAAACCAGTGGTTTTCAAACAGAGGGCCGGGACCCACTAGAGAATCTCAGCACACTTCCAAGGGGGCCACATGATGGCTTAAAACGCTAAATATAGACTAAAACTAATAAAATGAAGATCTATTTCTCAGAAATTAATAAAATCTTGGAAGTCATGGAACATTTTTAAATGATTTTAAAACAAGCTAAAAAAAAGCTATAATGGCTAAATGAAGATGTATTTCATATTTTAATTTGTTATACTGTATGAGAAAATTAAAAAGAGGGATTTCTAGACATGAAAAAGACATGTCAATGAATACAATCTTAAAAAAAAAAAAGTAATGGGAAAATTTATAATAAATATAAGCTTTTTCCAGTTACGTGAAGTTCTAAAATATTTTATTGGGAAGATCACACTTCCAAGGGGGCCACATGATGGCTTAAAACGCTAAATATAGACTAAAACTAATAAAATGAAGATCTATTTCTCAGAAATTAATAAAATCTTGGAAGTCATGGAACATTTTTAAATGATTTTAAAACAAGCTAAAAAAAAGCTATAATGGCTAAATGAAGATGTATTTCATATTTTAATTTGTTATACTGTATGAGAAAATTAAAAAGAGGGATTTCTAGACATGAAAAAGACATGTCAATGAATACAATCTTAAAAAAAAAAAGTAATGGGAAAATTTATAATAAATATAAGCTTTTTCCAGTTACGTGAAGTTCTAAAATATTTTATTGGGAAGATAATTGCTATTTGCAAGATGGCCTGAAATGGTTTAAAATAAGCAGCTAAAATGAACATGTGTTTCTTATTTTAATTCCTTTTTTTTAAAGTGATTTCTAGACCTGAAAAAGTCATGGAAATTAGTCAAATCATAAAAGGTCATGGTACATTTAGTAATAAATATATATATATTTTCTAGTTATTTAAATTTCTAAGTAGAAATTGCTATTTGTGAATAATAAGTTTAAAAACTGTAATTTTAAAACCTGTAATCACAAACTAGAAAAGTCTTGTAAATTCTTTGGTAATGAAAAGTGTAAACCCTGAAGAACATTCACTTCAGTAAATTCTATAATTTAATTATTTTAATTATTAATAATTATTTAATTTGAATTATTTTAATGCATTGTCAAGTTTCTGTAAATTAAAAAAGCTTAAAAATAAACAGCTTTGTCATTACAGCAGAAGTACCAGAAATATCTTGGAGGACCTTCAAATATTGTCTTTGACAATGGGAGGCCTTGGGTCAAATAGGTTGAGAACCATTGTTTTAAAGATTAGATTTCTCTCCATCTCCATTCACAGCCTCACCTCGTTATTCTCGTTGGGCTTCATGGTGATGCTGCCCAGGATTTCCTCTCCTCTCCGCACCGTTAAGTAATCCTCCAGATAAAACACCGTCTGCTTCCAGTGAGTGCTGGGAGCGTCGGGGGCTTGAAGGGAACGTACGACTCGGTTAGTACCAGATTAATTTGTAAGTGATAATAAGGTACAGAATAAGTGACGGTTGAACCTGTAGAAAAGCCCATCTTCTTGTGACACTTGGTGAACTCAATGTTGAAGTACGTGACGAGAGCATGAACATAGTCATTCCTCTGGATCTGCAGGCAGAAGGCCGAGGTGAACGTCAGATCCTCTGGCTTCACCGTGTAGATATCCACCTCCTGAAAGCGATATGTCACGTTTCACACTTTTTGGCATAGAGATTGTTTATGTAGAGATTATGATGGACCCGCATACTTGCACTAACTCCTTTGATGATAGGCTATGAGATACTCAAGCTGTGATCTACTGTAAGCTTGAAGTGTAATGTGGTTTATGTCATATAGCCTTAACCCACACATCACAACAGATCCGGTTTCAAAGACATTATTGTTTGGATGTGGCCATATTGGTGCCTGTATAAGTAGAGGAGTTGGCACAAGCATCAGCCTTGGTGAACAAAGGGATTGAGAAAAAGCAAACCTCTTGCTGCGGGGGAGTAATGGAGCCCAACAGGATTTTTTTCCTAGTGTTTTTCAATTCTTTTTAAAGCTAAATAAAAGTAAGGTACCTAAATGAGCCACTGATCACATTGATCTACATAGCAGAACAAGAAACAGGTTAAGTATTAAATGCTCATTTAATACAGTAGCTATTGGCGAATGGCAGTAAGTCTGTGTGCGTGCGTGTGTGTGTGTGTGTGTGTGTGTGTGTGAGTGTTTGTACTCACAGTGGATTTTGAAGTCTTTGTATTGCCGATCCTCAATGGCAACCACATACAAAGTCGCTCTGTCTGGAAACATGAAACCACCAGGTTTCTGAAAAACGACAGGAAAGAGAATCTACAGATCACCACTGAAAAAGATTAATGGATAGTTGATGTATGTCCAACATATTTTTGTATTTTTAAATTACATTTTAGAAATACAAAATACAATTATTATTATTAGAAGTAGTAGTAATAGTAGTAGTATGAATGATAGGTCATAAAACACATAATATAATATAATATGTATCTAAATTAGATCTATTATTAATCTATTATTAATATTTAATCTTTAAATGATTTTAGAGTAATTATAGCATGTCACAATACAGGACATTGGTGAAACTGCCCTCATATAACATTTTAATCTACAAAAAAAATGGTTCCTGGCATATGCGTGATAATATTCCTATTATTCCAGTGACTTCACATCATTCTTTCTTTTCCTTCCTGTTCAATGCACCATAAAAATAACCCTAGGATGAAACAATGCCCTGGCACTAACACAATGATTCCATAAAAATGTTTAACAAGCCTCTTGTCCTCTGGACCAAATTGTCATTCAGTGGTAGACATTCATCAGCAGCCCAATGACTAGCCACTCATTCTCATTATAAATGATCATTTTCAGCATGGACACATGCTTCACATTCTAATTAGTCACATAACCTTGGCCTTGAGACAGCCAACACACACACACACAAACTAACCAGCCATTTGTCTCTGGCGTAGATGACAGTATTGAGCATAGACTCGTAGAAAAGACAGTAGCCCATCCACTCTGAAATGATGATGTCCACCTGATCCACCGGCAATTCAGTCTCCTCCACTTTCCCTTTAATGATGGTAATAACTGCAAAATGCACAGAAAATTGATGAACATAAATTAGTTTTTTTATTATTATTTGTATTAGTATAAATTATAATATATTAGTATAAATAATACATGGTCATAAAACAATACATTGTATTAATTATTATAATTACTATCTAAATTATAAAATATAAATGGATGAGCTGATTTTATACTATTTAAATTACAATTAAATATTAAATATGTTTAGATTTTATTCTAAATAAATACATTTATAATAATAAAATGACTCTAAACTAGAGTTTTACATTATTATCAGTTCCTAATTAATAAAATCAAGTCTCATCCCACATTTTTTGTTTCACTCATAAATGCGTCACAGAAATCAAATGGGTTATAAACCCAGTATATTTAGGCACAAAAAAGAATGGCAATATAAAGCTACATTGATTGATGGCTTTCTTCATGATTTTCTCTCTCTCTTCTTTCCTTTCTCCCATCCTCACCATTTTTCCCATTTTGCAAAAGGCAAGTTGCCAATGTTCAATTACCATGCCTGTGTGTGTGCACTCTAAAAAATGCTGGGTTGTTTCAACACAACTGGGTCAAATATGGACTAACCCAACTTTTGGGTTAACATTTTTATTTAAAAATTTAACCCAACAGCTGGGTTAGTCCATATTT